CCCCAAAACCCCAAAACCCCAAAACCCCGTGGTTTAGAAATAGATAGTTAATTAGAATAATATTTATAGATAAATGAAATTACAGGAAGAAAAAGCTGGGGAAATGGACAAATCAATATAAATCAATTTAAAACTAAATAGTTAGACAACAAATAGCTCAAATGTCAGATTGAATAAATACAAACATAGAAATTCCAAGGATAAATTTAAGACAGAGTAAAAGGCTAATCCTTTGAATACAGAACGGTCAATACAATTAACTAACCCCGGTGGTTCCATTGAAAATAGCTATGAGACCAGTCTGTTTAAAGTCAAGTTTAAAAATCATTAAATCTCGACATCGAACAATATTGACAATTCTCTGGCTGCTGATTTTGACTTACCAACTATATCATAAAATCGCTTAAAGATGTAGGCATCAGTATATGACCCTCTGCTTGAATAATCATAATCGGTATAGTTTGCTGATTTAAAGCTTGATTTGCAGCTAAACAACATGATTTAAAGTCATGAGCATAACCTGAATAGAATTAACTACTCTAAATTTATGAAGTAAAAGCCTGTTGCTTCCTAAAATTCAAAGCTTAAGGAAAAGTATGAGAATTCTTAACATTATAGTCAGTCTAATACCCCTGTAATGATATCTCCAAGACTAGATGAACTTAATCCAATTAAGGTCATGAAGAACAACGATAGAATAAATAAAACTTCAGATAGGCAAAATATAGAGAAACAGAGAAATGTTATAAATAATATGATTGCCAATTCAAGAGGTACAATGCCTTCCCTCTTTAAACATGAGTTCTATGATGGTAAATATATATATATATACCATTTTAATTTTTATCATCTACAGAGACCAAATAAGACGAGTTAGAGAAAATTCTTCAGAAGAAACTCCAATAAAATGCAATATTGAAAAAGAAAGGTAAGTTTATTCTAATCAAAGCTAGTCAGTTACGTATTGGACTAAATATATGAAAATAAAAATAAATCATAGGGCGTAAAAAGTACAACACAAATTAAGAATAGTCCTGTGAGAAAAAAGCTTCAGCTATATTAAATCTTTCCTAGATACCATATTTGCACTTAGGCAAAGTAACAATGAAGAACATTGAGATGAGAAATGAGTAAGATAAATTCAGCGTACTTAAAAATGAATATTCTGAAGATAATGACAATTATCCCAAGTCAAGGAAAATTCAAACTTAAAATAACAAAGATGCATCCTTGCATAGAAACAACTAATATCACTAGAGTCCAATTATAAATCATAAAGGTGATAAATTTGAAAATAGCTAATAATACAGCTCAAATAGACAAGATAATGGAGAATTCATCTCAGAGGTTGATCAAATAATGCAAGACTAAAAATATCTGAAGGGTCTCAGAGAAATAAAGGTATTATATAGATTTTTATCTTATTAGGGTTAACATCTTCGAGATTCCTAGAATTCATCAACAGTGTCTATGTATAAGTAGGATTTTGAATTTAAGATGTCCTAGATGGATAATCAACTTGATCATCAACTCTCAACTATAGGGGAGACTTTTGATAGTAATGATCGTACAATAAAAGAACAAGATAACAAAATAAAAAACATTGTTAAAGCCTAAGGAAGAATGAGCCCTAAAAATAGAACTAGGTCACCTAAAAGAAGAACAACTGACATGAAGGTCAAATAGAAAAATCATTCACCAAAGAATAGGATAGCTTTTATGCAAAAGGTGCCTTTGATGAAATCTTCCAATGATGAGTTTAGCCAAATTATGAAAGAGATCAATTTTCATGGGTCATTTAAAATTGATTAAGTTGGAGGAATGGATATTAGATCTCCTTAGTCTAAGCTTTCTCGAAAAAGCGTAAATATAGTGTAAAAATCCTACTATTAATAGTTATATATAGAGCGAGTCCTAAAGCAAGGCCGTTTGATTCTCATGCTCCTAAAAGTCTATAGAGATTCAGAGAGGATGAAAGAAGTGCAAGTGATTACTACTAAAAGCTATTTCAATAAACATAGGGAGCAAATAGTACAAAATATGAATGGAATAAGAATGACTATATGGGACAAGTTTAAAATTAGTAATCAGTTTACGATTTAGTAGGAAATTCTGAGATGCCTTTAAGCATGGTTGAATTAAAGAAAATGCAATAAGACTAAGAAGCTATCGAGTAAGCGGAAATTGAGAATATAATATCCCAGTTATTGGAGGCAAACATAGAAAGTCATAAACAAAATGGATTCGAAAGCCGTTTGAGCAGATCAATTACAAATAACTTTGATGATTATGCTTGTAAAATAAATTTTATTTAGCATTAATAGAATAGGATAATACAACTTTCTTAAGAATTGCCAGAGAAATACAAGATAGAAACGCATTTAATAAGTTATGCAAAAATTATATTCAGCCAAGAATCGGTAAAATAGAAAATAAGAATTTATTAAAAATATAGCATACGAGCATGCAAAAGATTCAAAGATGAATTTCTTTAGATAATGCCAACAAGAGCTGGTGCTGGCACTGCCGATACTAAATAAGATAAGATCAAAGACTCTTTATCTTTAAGGATATATGCTAAATATTGGTCATTGCAAAGCACTCTCAGTTGCTTTTAGATTCTTTGACAGTTTAATGACGAGGCTTCACCTGGAAAATAATAACATTAAGGATGAGTAATTTAAGGACATGTTGGAAGGATTGAACTATGTTACTGATCTTAAATCAATTATTTACAAATCAAATGAATTCGGGTCTAAATCATTGAAAATGCTAAAACCTTTAATAGCAAAGTCATTACCTTATCATCTAGAGGAATTGAGAATTATCAACTGCAAAATAAGTTCTACTACTACTGATGAGCTTTTGAATTGCTTGTATGATAGATGCTTTCTGAGAAAACTAGCTCTAGTTAATGCAAATCTTTAAGAATCTGGCATGAAAACTCTAATAAACTATCTTTAAGAGTCCAGACTTACAGACCTAGATATAAGTTGGAATGGATTGAAACCTTAGAGTATGGTTGAATTCATCCAAGTTATTGGCTTAAATCGCCAACTCAGTTATTTAAATATCAGTTGGAATAGTATGCTTGAGAAAAATGGGTTAACAATGGACTATGGAAATGCTGGAGGAGCTAGGAGAAGTTAAGAAGGCAGCAAAGATGGTTTATTTAAAGCGATGCAGAGATAATTAAAAATGAAGGCACATACTAATAATAAAAATGATGTTCAAACAAACATAATGATAAACATATCAAACTTTATAAAGTATAACAAAAATCTCCTGCATATTGATCTTTCAAATACTGGAATGACTGAGGATATGCTCTGGAATCTTGGCACTGCTATGAGGAGATCTAGAAGTATGGTGTCAATGCATCTCAGTGGTAATCCGGGAGTAACGCCTACACTTAAAGATTACCTAGAGAATCGAGTGAGATGTAAGAGAGTCTAGGAAATCAGACAGATTTAAATATTTGATCAAATAGTAAAAACCTCCATTCAAAATAACGTATATTTAAACTTCATCTCTTCAAAGATTATCTATAGAGTCCAAGACAAGAAGAAATTCAAGAAGGAGTTTAGTTAAAGCAAGTATTTCAGCACAAAAAATAAGCAGGTATGGCTATAGAAACTGAAAAGATAGATTCTGACAATAAGAAGCTTATCTTTTAAAGATTTCTTGGACATAAAGCAGAAATGCCATTTTCTGGATAATGGCAAATGCTTACTGAACCTCTGCATGACCATTGCTGGGTTTGCGATAAATGGACATATACTCTTATATTTTGGTCACCAAACATTGGATATTTTAGCTCAATCGAAATTGATATGTTATAAAGAGAAAAAATTCTAGAACAGGTTAGAGAATACAACCCTGATGAGAACAGAGGTGCTTCAAATAACCCGTCATTATATGGAAGTTTTACCAATTGGAAAAAGAAGGAGTTACTGAAAATAGAGCAGTTCTGTTAAATTATTGATAAAGATCCTCCAGATCTTTATACTATCTTAAGACGAAAAAAATTAATTGGAAAAGAATTCTCAACCTATGAGGAATTGCCTGACTAATTGAAAAAGCAGTTTGATCCTGAGCTAAAAGATCACATAAAAAATCACTATAGGAAGTCATTCAAAGAAGTAATAATGAAGAATAGTCTTTACAGGAGGCCATATTTGGTTAATGGCTAGTTCTTGGAAAGATTTTCAGATCGAACTTAAGAATAACTTTATGTCTACCCCTGCTTTATCAGGTATCTTTAAGATTTATATTTATTTATAGAGCTGGAAAGCATAGCTATATTGTAAAGAACACTGATGATGATTATTTTTTGCATAAAATGATTGCACCCTTCAGAGAGGAAGATATCCCAGTTTGTAAGAAATATTTATATTAGTTAAAATCAATTTAGACATCAAATAATCAAAAATGAAAGTATTCTCGAGAGTATTTAAAAAAGAAACGAGTGTGTTTAGAGATTGGAAGGAAGACAATGATTAAATTCTTGCTAGATGTTGCGACCATGATTATAAATACTGGAAAATTCCTAGATTTGTTAAAGACCCTGGAGAAGTATGTAAATCTATTAATCATTTAATCTATCTACAGCAACAAAAATGCTTTGATTATGTTATTTAAAACTTCACAAAACTGAAGGAAATTTTTATAACAATAGCAAGCAGATCTTCATTTCCAAATATATCGTGGATTGACTTCACTACATTTTGTGAGTAGTGCAAAGTCCTTGATAAAAATGTCGTACTTGCCACTATAGATAGACTATTTATTGCTACTAATGTCGAAATTGAAAGTACAAGTGACAGTCCTGACAAAAGTCTTTGCAGATACGAGTTTTTCGAAATATTAGTGAGACTTGCTAATGCTAAATATAAAGAACCAGGAATAGTAGCTACTCATTCTGAAGCTTTTAGAAAAATCCTAGAGGAGCATATTTTACCAAACGCTTTTGTTCATCCATGGCAGGAATTTAGAGATAAACAGATTTGGACTATTGAAGTAAGTGACACTCTAGAAGTTAACTTAGATGGGCTTAAAAAAGTCTATGCCAAGTATTTTGATCCAAGAAAAAAATATATGAGTATGCAAGATGGTTTAAATTTAATGATGAGAGATACAGCAGTGGGACTAATTGAGAAAGATGCTATATTTTGCTATGGTATGTGTAAAATGACATGCATTAATGAGGCTGTGGACTCTTCGAAACACTATAAGATTTTACAATTTGTTGAGCTATTGGAGTATATTTGTAGAGTAGCTGATTATAAATTCAGGAATAATGATGATATGAACTTAGTTTAGAAAATAGAGATAGTATTAGAGGATGTGCTAGCTCTAGTGGATGTTAAAAGAAAAGATGTCAACATTAAAGTTGATGATGAAAGCGAAAGTGATGATGACTATTGATTACTTTCATAAGTTAGTATAATATCAACTATCTAATATATCTTATTATATAAATCTCAATTACTTTAATTATTTATCTTTTAGGGGTTTTGGGGTTTTGGGGTTTTGGGGTTTTGGGGTTTTGGGGTTTTGGG